ACTGGAGTGATTTTGTAAGGAAAAGAAATAGTTCAAACAAAGACCATTAAATGGTCAGTCTTCTCTCTTTTGACAAACAGTCATGATATGTTTTATTGTATATCTGTAGTTGACAAAATAATAAATCCTAAAAATGTCCACATCCTAATACCCAGAACATGTAACTTAACTGTGTTACCTCACCTGGCAGAAGGGGGCTTGTCAATGGACATGATTAAGGCTGAGATCCTTTGAGGGCAGGAGAGGGGATAGTAGTCTGGATTATGTAGATAGACCCAAGCTCATCACAGGAGTCTTTAAAAATGGAGAACTTTTCCCAGCTTCAGAGAACCCTAGAGAGGAATATGAGAAGGACTCAACCTGCCATTGCTGACTCTGAGGATGGAGGATGGGGCTACCAACCAAGGAATGCAGGTGGTCTGAACTGAAAAGGCAAAGAAACAGGTTCTGCCCTGGAGTCCAAATTCCAGAAAGGAATGTAGCTCTGTTGACACCTTGATTTTTGTGTAGTGAAACCCATGTCAGACTCTGACCTGCAGAACTGCAAGGCAATAAATTTGATTGTCCTTTGCATGAAGTTTGTGAAAAGCTGTTAGAGCAGCCACAGAAAGTAAATCCAGCCTTTTACTGTTTCTAACTTGTTTTATTATTTTTGTTTATAGAGCAAGAGGAACCAAGTTGTCATTAAGCAAAGGACACAGGCCTTCTGTGAGCACACAGGGCATCTCAGGGAACCCAAGGCAGGACTGCAGATCTGCAGAGAGGCAGCTTGGCAATTTCCGGCCCTTTGAGCTCCGCCTCCCTGCCCCACTTCACTGTTGCATCCTTGTTCACCTTCTGTCAGTAAATACACTTTCTCTACTATTCCGTGAATGAATGTAAGGGGGCTGAGCTTCAGCTAGCTTCCCTTTGGGACTAGAATCTCATCCTCAATGCCAAAATCCCAGATGAAGAAACTCTGGGACCATTTGCTCTAGGTACCTGTTATAGGTTAAACTGTCCTCCCTAAAAAGACACTCTACCCAACCCAACTCAGAATGTAACCTTTTTTTGGAGAGGGTCATTGCAGATGTAACTAGCTAAGATTAGGGCATACTACAGTAGGGTGGGACCTTAGTGTCCATGTAAGAGGGAAACTGGGGCACAGATGCAGATGAGGAAAGATGGCCATGTAAGGATGGGAAGAGTTTGGTGATGCTACCTTGAGTCAAGGAATGCCCAGAGCTACCAGGGGCTGGAAGAGGCAAAGAAGCTGCTTACTTTACTTAGAAGCTTTGGGAGGATCATGGCCCAGCCAACACATCACTTTCAGACTTTGGGCCTCCAAAGTTGTGAGGCAATACTTTCTGTGCTTAAAGCTAGATGGGATTGGGGACTGGCTCCCCACCCCCACAAGGTCTTAACTGTGTAGCCTTGGATGGCCTGGAACTCACGAAGGTCAACTTATCTCTCTTTTCCAAGTCCTGGGATAAGAGGCATGAACCACCACCACTCATAGCATGTATACATATTTTTAAAATATTTTTTTTTATTTTATTTTTTAATTATTTTATGTGTATGAGTGTATTGCCTGCATGTATGTAAATGCACCTGTGTCATACAATGCCCTTGGGGGTCAGAAGAAGGCATCAGATCCCCTGGAACTGGAGTTAAGGATCATTGGTAGCCACCATGTGGGAACTGGGAATTGAACTCAGGTCCTCTGCAAGAGCAGCCTGTGCTCTTAACCACTGAGCCATCTCTCCAGCCCGATTTATTTATTTTTTATGTGTATAAGTGGTCTGCCTGCATGAATGTAGGTGTACCACATGTGTGTAATGTCCAGAAGAGGGCATCAGATCCCCTGGAACTGGAGTTACAGACTGTTGTTACCTGCCAAGTGGGTGCTGGGAACCGGACCCAGGCCCTCTGCAAGAACAGCCAGTGCCCTTAAGCATAAAGCCATCTCTTCAGCTCCAGGTTTGGCATTTTGTTATGGCAAACCTAGAACACCAATACAGTGCCCAAGCACCACCTAGTTCTTTTAGGCCTAGGGGACCAAATCTTAGAGTGCAAATGTAGCACCTCAAGACTTACCCCTATGGAAGGATGAATCACTGTACATGAAGTAGATACCCTGAGCAGTTGTCCAGTGAAGCAGATACCCTGAGAAGCTATCCATCTCGTTTCCTACAGCTAGGACAAAATCGTCCCTCCCCTCCACCTCCTTCTCTTCCTTCTCCTCTTGTGGTTTTTAAAATATTTAGCTCTTTGGAGCTGGGGAGATCTTACAGAGCACTGGGGTTTGGTTCCCAGCACCCGTATCAGCTGGTTTACAATTACCTGTAACTCCAGCTTCAGAAGATTCGATGCCTTCTGACCTCCATGAGTACCTGCACACTCATGGTATACATAAATTTCTGGAGGCACACATACATACACATAATAAATTTTTAAAAAATATATATTTAGCTCTTTTGCCCTGCTACAGTGTATTATAATGTATAAGATTTTTAAAAATCAGCTGTTTTCAGGGCTGGAGAGATGGCTCAATGCTTAAGAGCACTGGCTGCTCTTGCTGGGTTCAAATCCCAGCACCCACATGGCCGCTAACAACTCCGTATTAGCTCCATGGTGTCCTTAACTCCAGTTCCAGGTATCCAACACCCTCTTCTGGCCTCCAAGGGCATTTCACTACACAGGTGAACTTACAGCATGCAGGCAATACACTCATACACATAAAATAATAAAAATAAATAAAACATTTTTAAAAATCAGCTGTTTTCCACACTGCAATCCACTTGTCTAAAGACTTTGATTAGTCTTCCTCTTATCACTGTGTTGCTTTTCATTTACTGGACTGAGCACTGATTTTGAAAATTATTTCTGAAATCTTCATACTCTGTTTCTTTGATTGGCTTACCAGGTTCCTGGTATAAAGTAAGAAGATACTGTGTGCTGAGTGTGGTGGGCCCATACCTTTAATCCTAGCACTCAGGAGTCAAAAAGCCTGGTGTACATAGTGAGTACCAGGCCACCTGGAGCTATAGGGAGACCCTGTCTCAAAAAGACCAAAAAAAAATCATCATTCATTTTCAGTAGATTCCCACTAAAAGAAAAAAAAGAGAGAGACTCTAGGCTTAACCACCAACTCAAGTTCTAGAATAGGGTTACCTCTTCATGCCCTCTAAATCCTTTATCTCTAGTAACCTGAAATTTCCACTTGCTATAAACTTATTTTGGAGAAAATGGGAGTGTTTATAAAATGCTCATCTTTTCAGAGTAACAGACTAGAACTCTTCTGGTGGAGGCAGCAGTGCTGTACCTGTTGCTGTGATGGGTTTTCATTATGTTGCCTGGGCTGGTCTTGATCTTCTGGGTACAAGTGCTCTGCCTGCCTCTGCTTCCCAGCTAGCCAGGACCACAGACTTACCACCTACCTAGCCTATTCCTCTTTTTGTAACTGGTCCTGGTCCTGTGACCACATCTGGTCTTCAGATGATGATGAGTTAAAAAGTAACAACGCCTGCATACTAACCTTCATAATTAAATATCTCTACAATAAGCACTGGACAATGTCAGGTGATTATTGAGATGATCAAAGAAGACCTATCATTCTTGCCAGTATCCAACTCTATTCTCAATGTCCCTCATCTTAAGTCATGCAGGAGACTAGAAAGGGGGTGCAACTGGCTAAACGATGATCACCCACAAAACGTCAATGTTGTAGTTCCTACAGCACAGATGTATCTCACCTTACAAGGTAAGAGGAACTCTGGAGATGTGGTTAAACTAAGTATTTAAGTTTTTGTTTTTACATTTATTTATCAGGGGGAAGCATGTAGGCTCTGGTCTACCAGTGGAGATCACAGAACATCCATTCTTCCACTGTTTGACTTCCCAGGATCCAACTCAGGGTGGTCAGCAAGAGCCTTTACTTTTAAAGAATTTACCTTTAAAAAGAATTTTAAAGTGGGTTAATCATCCTGGCTATCACAAGGTGCAGGAGTCAGGCCTGGTGGCGCATGCCTTTAGTCCCAGCACTCTGGAGGCAGAGGCAGGCGGATCTCTGTAAGATTGAGTCCAGCCTGGTCTGCATAGTGAGTTCCAGGCCAGCTGGGACTACAGGAAGACCCTGTCTCAAGGGGAAAAAAGGTGGCAGGGAGAAGCTGGGATGATATATTCTGAAGATAAAGATGTATATACCAAGGAATCCAAGTGGCCTCTGGGATCTGATTCTTGTCTGGAGTCCCCAAACGGAATAGAGCCTTTATCTGTTGTTCTGAATGGTAAGATAAAGTTTGTTGTTTTAAACCACTAAATTTCTGGTAATTTGCTACAATAGAAAAAAGACATCAGACTTTCCACCACCTCTGCCCACACAGCTAGAAGGGAGCAGTTGGTGAAGAGCCTTCTTCAGGTCTTGTCACCTTTGGGGCCTTTATTTGATCAACTGTTCCAAGATACTGCTACATAGTGAGTTCCAGGCCAGCTGGGACTACAGGAAGACCCTGTCTCAAGGGGAAAAAAGGTGGCAGGGAGAAGCTGGGATGATATATTCTGAAGATAAAGATGTATATACCAAGGAATCCAAGTGGCCTCTGGGATCTGATTCTTGTCTGGAGTCCCCAAACGGAATAGAGCCTTTATCTGTTGTTCTGAATGGTAAGATAAAGTTTGTTGTTTTAAACCACTAAATTTCTGGTAATTTGCTACAATAGAAAAAAGACATCAGACTTTCCACCACCTCTGCCCACACAGCTAGAAGGGAGCAGTTGGTGAAGAGCCTTCTTCAGGTCTTGTCACCTTTGGGGCCTTTATTTGATCAACTGTTCCAAGATACTGGGGTTAACCCTCCAGCTTGTGACTGGAGTCACTAGAAATAAGTAGAAACTGCACTGAACCATGAAACAAGGAGAAGCCTTTAAAACATTGGAACACTTTCTCCCCTAGCAGAGAGAGAGAGAGAGAGAGAGAGAGAGAGAGAGAGAGAGAGAAACCAGAGACACCACAAACTTGAATTAGCTTGAAACATTGAGCTGTTTCAGAACGTTTATTCAATGAGTTTTAAAGCATGGGGCCTGGGGCATAGGCAGAAATCTGGGACCTTTAGTTCAGGCCCAGAAAGCTAGGTACCCAGAACAAGAGACGCCTGTAAAAAGAAATAAGGAGTTTAAAAAATTTGCATTTGATGGCGTTTCCAAGGACCACAATTCTAGGCCTCTTTCAAGAGCCGATAAACGAAACCCATTGAGCTTCTCAAAGCCGAAGTACAGGGAAACGTGCGCCATCCCAACCCCTAACTCAAGATTGATATTCTGAGTCCTTGTTCACCGAAAGAAGGAAAAGGATAAACTACATGTTTTTGGCACTACGAAAGAATGGCACCTTACCAAGAAACTGCTTTTTTTCCTCACCCTTCTCTCCCGGAATAAAAAGCCTTTGCTCTTAATTTTATATTCGTGATGATTTTATTTCTTTTTTCCGTTGTTAAGAGCTGGAGCTAAACATTGGCGGAGGCCCCAGGCGCCTGCTGGAAAGGCGCCCTTGCAGGAGCAGAAGGCCAGCAGACTAAACCCTGGGGGCGGGAGGCACCCGCCTCGCTTGTTTCCTAGAACTGAAGGGATTCTCTTCAAATTTCCCGGGCCAGGTCAAAGCCCCCCAATCCGAGCCCCAGGATGTGGGGGTCTGCGAGAAGACCGCAGGGGACACTCGATGGGTCGCCAGCCAGGCTGCAGAGCAGGGGGACCACCCACGAAGCCGGGCGGCCCGCCCAGCGCCCTGCCCTTGCACTCTACTCCCACGCACTGCTCCCAGGGTTTGCTGTCCTCCCTTAGGCAAGGCTGGGCGGTGGTACCCAGCCCCACAAGATAAAGATGGAGGATGGTCCAAGGACTGGCAGGAAGAGAGGGCCTTCTTCTTCATCTCCCTCCCTACCCATTGGACAAGTGCTCTAGCCTTTCCTCCCCACCCCATCCCAAAAATTTCAGTCTATTGTAATTCAACTGAAAACAAAAACAAACACTAATGTCAGGATTTTGGATAAAATGACACCAGTTCCAGATCAGCACCTGAAATCTTTCTATCCAATTTAGACCCAACTCTGAGGTAGGTGGGGCATGTGGGCCCAGGGCGGTATTGTGGGTTTCAAGTCTCCTCTTGGAGGCAGGGCCCCACAGGCTGGAGCCTTCAACGCTTCCTGTTGCCGGAATGGAAAATTGATGGAGGACAGCTTAGCCCAGGTCAACACACTTTTTATTGCCACTTCTAGCTACCCCGATCCCCAGCCAGATTCCTGATTCTTATACTGTAGAAACACTGGCTTCTGGTGCAGGAGGATGGGGGTGGGGAGTGTTGCCACTTCTCAGCACATTGCTAAGCAAGTTAAAGAAAACCCCATTTGCTGGAGGAGGAGGGCCAGAGGGCATGTATGGCTCAGTCCTGCTTCTGCTGATTGCAGAATATAGGGACATGGCTCCAAACCTTTCTTTGAAAGGGGTGGGAATGAATTTGGCTGCTCTTGCCCTTGCTGCCATGTTTCCATGGAAATGAAGGAGGAGCAGGCTGTAGCTCAGGGGTGACTACCTGGGAGGATGGCAAAGGCAAGCATTTGGTAAACATATCCCCTTCTACTCCTATCCCAGCTGTCCCCAGATGATCCCCACCCCCACCCCAGACTCACTCCCCTCAGCCTGCTCCACTCTATTCTCTCCTGGGGCTGGTATAACACCAACTGGACTCCAGGCAGAGCTGCTAGTGTCTGCTTTCCACAGCCAGGTCTCCCTGGCAGCAGACTCTTAAGTATGTCTACCAAGGTCAGTAACAGTCCCAACAGAGCTGTCGTATCTCCATGAAAAAGCTTCAGCTAGTCTCCCCACAGCCCTCTGTACCACTGCTGTTTCCCAAACATTCCTGCCCAAACAAAGCTTAAAAACAGAAAGCCAAATGCTTAAGGTTAGAAACAGTACAAAAGAATTCTCTAACAATGCTGAGGGCTAGGATGGGGGAGATGAGGCACATCCTTCTGAGAGCCGGGCCACCAGTGTGCCCTGTCTTCTGGAGGTTGCTTCTTTCCACTGGGCCCTCATTGCTGGGGGGCTGGAATCCAAATCTCCGTTTGATGCTGTTCTCAGCACCCTCTGTTGTTGGTTCATGAAGTCTGCCTGTCACCATGATCAGGAGGTGCAGGAAGGATTCTCAGTACCATGGGTCAGCCCGGTGCTGCTGATTGTAGAGCTGTAGCTTGATCTGATCTTTTATTTGGTTCACAAGGACCTGGGACAGCAGGATTCCCACCAGCTGTGAGAGGTAAAAAGGAATTGGGCCCTCAGCAAAGAGTATTTACCCCTATTTTTTCCATCGGGTCCCTAATGCACCCATCCCTTCCCCTGTCCCTCTGAATGTCAGTACTTGACACCCCAGCTGATCCCCAGGTACCCTCCAAAAACAAAAGAGTTTTTGCAGAGTTTATGAGACCTACCAGTCTTTGAGGGTAAGTTACCTGGGGGATGGCCAGGCCTAGTGCCACACCACCAAGTAGGAATAGGTTGCTGTGTATCCAGTTGACCAACTTGTCAATACAGCCGTTAGTGTAGATGACTTTACTAGCTTCCAAGTAGTCAAGAGCCTGCATACCTTGGCCACACATAGTGTTGATCACGGCCTGAGAAAAAGTTGAAAAGCCAAATGGGACTCCCATACTAAATGTTAGCTAATGGGTTTGCCACCTTTCCCAAATCTTTAAATTGTTACAGAATATCTATGAGGGATACTGGGTTAGAAATGGCTAAATGCAGAATTCCTTCCCTTTGAGAAGTCTGGGTCCAATAGTCCTTGTTTTAGATCAGCCTCTTCTGAGCCCCATGAGGGTCACCAGAGTCAAAGGTTAACAAAATGTCACACTGGGGTGAAGAAAAATACCTGACAGTTATCCTCTACAATCAACTGGTTACACTAGAAAATAGGTTGTCAGCATAACAGCTTCTCTGATCAGAAAGTTACGTGGAGCACTACCCAGGTGGGCAATGAGGAGGGATGTTTGCTCACCTGGTTGGGGGTAGGCAAGCAACAGGAATAAGGCACAGAACATCGCTCGCGGCTAGGGTTGTCTTCCGAGCAGTTGAAGTACATATTCTGAGACCAGTCTTTGTAGGAAATCCCTCCACAACAGCTGAACTGCAACACAGCCCACTAGAGAGGTTAAGAATCATCCATTTCTCACACCAACGGGGGGCAAAGGAATTCTTGAAGCCTATAGCAAGCTTCTGTTTGTAACTTCAAGGTTATTTCAATACAACTTTGAACCATGAGCTCAAATCCCCAGTTGCTTTCACCTGGAGCAAATATCTCTTTGATTTCTATTACTTTATGTATCTTATTATAACTCACTCCAGTGCTTGATATTCCATTGCTATATATATATGTATTTATATGTATATATAATTTTACATATTCAGGTGTGACCTCTTGAGAGAAGATTCTGGTTTTATACTTTTATAAGCATAATTGGCAAAAGGAGGTGTTCAAAATTACTGGCTAGGGCTGGGGGTGTTCATTGATAGAGCATATGCTTAGAATATGTGACCCCTGGATTCATTCCAGCACTGCCAAGAAAAAGTAAAAAACAAACAAAAAATAAAAACTAAACTAAACTAAAAAGCTTGTCATAAGAGAAAATACAAGAAGGGAATCTTCAAGATTATGAGTCCATAATTACTCCATGAAAGCAAACTGGATCCCAAAGTCAAGTGTCTCTTGCACCAGAGGAAGAGGAACTCAGCACTGGTCTCAAAGACACCTGATTCAAAATTTAATTGCATGACCCATAATAGCCAAAAGGGAGAAGCAACTCAAAGTGTTCATCCATGGCTAAATAAAATGTGGTATTCACACATGAGAGAGTACTATTCAGCCTTTAAAAAGGGAGGAAATTCTGACTCATGCTACAATATGGATGAAACTTGAAGACATGCCTTGTGAAAAAAAGTCAGTCACCAAAGGCCATAGATTGTATATGAGGTACCTGGAGTAGTTACATCACAAAAGTTGTATGGTGGTTGCCTTTATGAGAGAGAAATGGAAAGTTTAGTGGGCACAGAGTTTCATCAAGGAAAGATTAAAATTTTTAATTATCATTAAATTATGTATTATTATTGTATGTGTGTGCATGTGCATGCACATGTTCCATAGTTCACATCATGGTCCATATGTGGAGGTAGATGACAACTTTTGGGAGTTGGTTCTCTCCTTCCACCATGGGTTCCTGGGGTCAAACTCAGATTGTCAGGCTTGTACAGAAAGCACTTTTACCTACTGAGTCATCTCACTGTCCTGCCAAAAAGAGTTTTTGTCTTATTTTGTTGTTGCAAAAGGGTCTCTTATAGCCAGGCTGGCCCGGAACTCAATATGTAGCCAAGGCTGGCCTGGAACTCAATATGTAGCCAGGCTAGCCTGAAACTCAATATGTAGCCAAGGCTGGCCTTGAATTCCCAACCCTCTTGCTTTCACATCCCAAATACTGAGATTGTAGACATGTACCACCATGCCAAGGGAGATGAAAAAGTTCTGTTGATGAATGGTAGTGATGATTACACACAATGTGATTTCGTTTTCCCCTCCATACTGGGGATTGAACCTAGACCCTCATGTACACTAGGTAAGTCCTCTACCATTGAACTATACCCCCACCTCCCTTTTCATCTTTTGAGACAGGATCTTATAAGCTACTCAGGCTGGCCTTGAACTCTTAATTCTCCTGACTTAGCCTCCTGAGCAGGTGAGATTACAGGCCTGTGCCAATATGTCCAGTTAATTTTTTTTTTTTGTCTTTTTTTTGAAGCAGGGTCTCCCTGTAGCCCCAGCTGTCCTGGAACTCAATATGTAGACCAGGCTGGCCCTGAACTCACAGAGATCTGCCTGCCTCTGCCTCTCAAGTGCTGGGACTACAGGCATGAGCCACTATGCCCGGCATGTCCAGTTAATTTTTAAAAAATATTTATTTTTATTTTATGTGTGTATTGCCTGCATGTAGGTAAGTGCACCCATGTTGGGCAATGCCCACGGAGGACAGAAGAGGCTGTCAGGTCCCCTGGAACTGGAGTTACAGACAGTTGTTAGCTGCCATGTGGGTGCTGGGATTCGAACCCAGGTCTTCTGCAAGAACAACCAGTGTTCTTAACCACTGAGCCATCTCTCCAGCCCTCAGTTAATATTTTTAATATCTAAAATGGTAAATCCTGGGCTAGGGGTATATAGGTCAGTGTTACGCTGCTTGCCCATGATGTTCTAGGCCCTGAATTCTACCCCTAGTTTCACTAAAACAAGCAAAACCAAACAAAATGGTTTTCTTTTTTTTGGGAATTATGTGTATTTGGTCATAATTTTTAATGTAATATATAATAAAAATATAATAATGATGATGATGCCTGTAGTGGTGGTGTACACCTTTAAACCCAAGCACTCAGAAGGCAGAAACAGGCAAGTTTCTGTGAGTTCAAGGTCAGTCTGGTCTACATAGGGAGATCCAAGTCAGCCAGGGCTAGATACTGAGACCCTGTTTCAAACAACAAAAACAAAAACATGTAGCCAGGCATGGTGGCGCATACCTTTATGCCCAGCACTCAGGAGGCAAAGGCAGGTGGATCTCTGTGAGTTCAAGGTCAGCCTGGTCTACATAGTGAGCTCCAGCCAGCTGGGGCTACAGGGAGACCCTGTCTCAAAAAGACAAAAAAGAAAAAAGAATCTATAAATATACATGTTAAATATCTGCCCAGGCTGGCCTTGAACTCACAGAGATCCGCCTGCCTCTCCCTCCTCTGCTGGGATTAAAGGCGAGCACCACAACACCTGGCCTACATTCTATACTCTTAAAAGTAATTTTTTTTCCCAAAGTCCTTCCCAGAATCCATTACCTAGCAGGTAAAAGAGGTCCACAGGCCTAGGGAGTGAGGCATCTCTTGGGATGACCTTAACTTTTACTTCTAGTCCTCACAACACAGTCTGACCACACCCCACTTGAGCCATACCTTTTTCTGGCCAAAGTCAATGAGGTTCTGCAGATCCAAGTCATCCCGATAGTGTACAATAGCATTGTTGATGATTTCACTCACTTTCCCCCGAGCCTGCCAGAGACATGGATAGGCAATCAAGGCATAGGATTAATTCCTAAAGTTTATTAATCCTTGCAGAAATAACAATAAACACAGATCACTGTTGTTTTGTTTTTTGTTCTCCTTTTCAGATTTCTCTATGGTTTACTGTCACAGCACAATTTGTAGAAGGCAGGAGGGTACCTCTGTACATATTACTCTGTGGTCAAAGCCCAAGGCTAGCTCTCCCCACTCTTACGCCAAGCCCCAGCAGCCCAGCACAGGCCTGGTGCTCTCACATCCCACTCTGGGTGTATGCCAATAACAACTCAAGTTAGTGCAGCCAAATGGCCCCAAGTCCCTTCTTAACACCCCAGCTTCAATCTTTCCACCATGCCTATTCATTACCACCACCTCCCATTATAACTTCCTTTTTTTACACACTGGGTGTTTCTATCACATCCTGTGGACCACTGAAATCACTAGCACATCTCACTCTGCAACAAATTCATTTAGGACTTTACCCTTCACAGGCCTAAGAGTTAATGACAAGTCCTGTTGGCTTTGGTGAATGAGGCCACTTAAGCTCCCCATCCTTGCTTAGGTCAGCTCAAGAGATGCCTTAGTCTCTAGGCCTGTGAACTTTTTTTTTTTTTTTTTTTTTGTCTTTTTGACACAGGGTCTCCCTGTAACCCCAGGTGGCCTGGTACTTGCTATGTAGAACAGGCTGGCCTTAATCTTACAGAGATCTGCCTGCCTCTGTCTCCTGAGTGTTGGGACTAAAATATGTGCCACCACACCTGGCTCCTGTGGACCCCTTTTATCCCCCAATCCTATGGAATAAGGAGGGAGGGACTGATGGCTATATCAGAGAGATAAGATGAATGTTTTCTCCTTAACACCAAATAGAAAATGATAATTAAGTGGCCCAAGTCCTTAAAGGAATTAGCAAATCTTTCCCAGAAGTGTGGGGGGGGGGGGATCACAGGTTACAGTTCAAAGTTAGAGCAGCAACCAAAGATTAAGGTCATTTCTCCTCACATCATCCTTAATCTAAATTAGCTTGAAATCAGAACCAAGTTCTACCAAGGGGAGACAGTTGAAAGCCCATCCAATCGTAGGCCTCAGGTACCAATGGACAAGAGAAATGCTGAACCCACCAGCACTGCTTCTCAGAACTATATTTCAAAATGATGCCACATGTACATATTATTACCACAAAATATGTGTTGACTGATGCAGTGAAGAAACTGTCTTGTTTTGTGTTAGTAGAAGGGTGTTTACTTTGTGTCGGCACTGACCCCTAGTGGACATAAGAAAATTGCATCTGTAGATTCACTAGATATGTACCATTTTAGGATTTTATTAAGCCAAAAGGACTCAGCAACTTGGAATCAGCTCGGCAGCGCTGTTTCCTATTCCTACCATGGTCTCTTTCTGTCCCACTACTCTTCCTGTAATTTTCTTCCATAGTCCTGTACTTTATTCCTAGAAACCACTTGCCATTTGAGAAAAGAATTCTGGTTCTTTTGGGAGTTTTTTGTTTGCTTTTGTTTTGTTTTGTTTTGTTTGAGACAGCATCTCACTGTATAGCCCTGGCTGGCCTGGAACTTGCTAGGTAGATCAGGCTGGCCTCGAACTCACAGAGATCCAACTGCCTCTGCCCCCACAAGTGCTGGGATCAAAGGTGTGTGCCACCATGGGAATTCTGGTTCTTAAGTAAAAAGACTGTGGCTGCATGGCAGACCGCCTCCAGATGTGGTAAACATGGTTCAGAACTGTGTTTGCTTTCCCATTGTCTTCTTTAGTTCAATGAACAGGTTTTGAAAAAGAGACTTTAAGCTGTCTGTGGTCTTGATCACTGAGTTCTTCTTAGTCATTTACCATTAAAGTTTGCAGGTGATTTTAATGTTTTTCATGTTTTGAGAATTTTCTTCCTTGTTGGCCTATCAGGTTGTCAAAGGAAAACACCTTACAGTTATAAAATTCTCTTTAAATATGGTGACACTAAAGGCCACCTATTCATTCCCAAGGGGAACCTTTCAAAGGCTGATGCCTCTCAGGGGAAAGAGTGCTGTGGTTAATTAATCATGCTAAAAGGGAGTAGGAACTTTCCCTTCCTCCCTCTGGTTTACACAGAAGAGGCCTCCAGGCTCCCAGTGTTACCTTGTCTGAGAAGACAAAGCCCAGGACACCAGCCGCCAGCTGCAGCAGAAACACGATGGTGAGGCAGAGGGAGAACTGTGGCAACAAAGCAAGAAAAGGAGAGTCTGTTACTACTCTGGGCAGTAGCCCCTCCCAGGGCCACGGAGAGCACTGAGAGGTCACTAGGCCCTTCTCCCATATGCCCCCAACATGGCAAAGATTACTGCTTCCAAGAGTTTCCCGGAGGAGGCCACCCTGTGCTGGGTCACCCAGGGCAGAGCTCTACAGTGTGCGGTGGACAGCACAGATGTAAGGGTTGGATGGGGCAGAAGAAACAGAATGGAGAGGCTATAATATGGCACAAGGGACCAAGAAAGACATGGAAGAGGAGAGACCTAAGTCTTTCCATGGAGTCATTGACCACTCACTGTCTGTAGAAGGCAGATGTTCTCTCGGAGGGATCCAATGCAGCCGCAAAAGGTGAGGAGGAACATGAGAACACCCACCACGATGAGCAGGATGGCAGGGTCCACTGCCAGGCAGGCTAAGGCTGCTTCTGGGGGGGAGACTGACCTTCAGTTGGAGCCCAGTGCCCTCTGAGGGGCCTCCCAGGGATGGATGAGAGGGTGCACCTAAACTGTTCTTCCTCTACTGAGGGAATCTCCTTGCCTGGTGAGGATTATGGGGAAACAATACCTTCCTCACAGGGGACAACAAAGTATCCAGGAGGAATCCTGGCTTGAACCTAGGAACTAGGGAAAAGGCTTTATTCCTGGGTTCATGAGAGAAGGGGCTGCTCCAGAGAAGAATTCAAATGGCATTAGGCTCACTAGTAGGCCAGATCTTTGTAGACTTTGCAGAGGTCAAGGAATGGAGGTTGAGTTACTTTAGGACAAGCTAGGAAGGGCAACAGCCCTTGGTTGCTCTCTGTTCCCACAGGCCTAGGTCTCTCTGGGACGATTTATTCCTAAGTCTCAGATGTAGGCAGATCTTGGGAGAGGGATAGGGGCTCAGTGAACTGCCAGTCTGAAGTGGCCCAGTAAGATCTGGCTACAGGGAGCTACTTCCTGCAGCCTCAGCTCACACAAAAAGGGGTAGGGCCAAAGCTGGAGTAAACAGAGGGAGAGGAAGCGTAGCAAGAGTGCCAGGAAGCAGACGGAGAACTACAACCCACCTGCATGTTTCATCAGGCGGGCATAGACACCCACAGCCACCATTACCATGGAAATCACCTGTGGAAACAGAGAAGGAGCCAGACTGAGATTGTGGAAACCAGAGGGCTCTGAACACAGTAAGTTACCTAGAAGAAGAAAAGAGGGTGAGTTTCCCAGGGCCAGGCGAGAGTATTCCCCCACCTCCACCCCAGCGATGCTGCTGACAGGATCTGCCAGTGCTTCACCTCCATGAGATTCTTTTTCTGACATTATCTCCTTCAGTCTTTATAACACAGTTATCTTGTGAGATATTATCCCCATTTCACAGATGGAGAAAATAAGATAATGTAAGTTTAATATAGAACAGAACAGATCAAGAACACAGTGTGGGACTGGAGAAATGGCTCAATGGTTAGGAGCACTGACTGCTCTTCCAGAGGACCCAGGCTTGGTTCCCAGCACCCACATGGAGGTTTAAAAATGTCAGTGACTCCAGTTCTAGGAGATCGGATGCCCTCTTCTAGCTCTGGGGAACTGCATGCGTGTGGTGCACTTACACACATGCACTAAAAATATTCATACACATAAAATATAAATAAAATATTTTTTGTTTGCTTGGTTTTCATTTTTTGAGATAGGGTCTCACTATGTAGTACTGGCTGGCCTAGAATTTGTTGTGTCGACCAGGCTGGCCTAGAACTCGTGGAGATCTGCTTGCTTCTGTCTCCTGAGCGCTGGGTAGCACATGGTACCACACCTAGCCTTATAAGTAAAATCTTTAAAAATAAAAAATAAGGGGCTGGAGAGATGACTCAGTGGTTAAGAACACTGGCTGTTCTTGCGGAAGACATGGGTTCGAATCCCAGCACCCATACGGCAGTTAACTGTCCACAACTCTAGTTCTAGGAGATCCGACAGTGTCTTCTGTCCTCCACAGGCACTGCATGACATGGGTGCACTTACCTACATGCAGGCATAACACTCATACATATAAAATAAAAATAATAAATAAAATATTTTTTAAAAATAAAAAACATGGGCATTCAGAGACATCTGGGGGTGTAACTCAGTGGTACAGCGTACAGCACATGTTAGGCATGCATAGGCCTTGGTTTCAACCACCAACACTAAAACGTACCCTAAACACACACACACACACACACACACACACACACAAATAAACAAAAAACACATGTACTTCTGAGCAACTCAAATTTAGTCCCATTTAGGATAGATTTCTGAGTCTGGTTGGTTTCTGTTTCTGAAGATGAAAATGAAGGACAAAGAGCTAGGTGTAACGGCACATGCAAGTAATCCCAGCACTTAGGAAGTTGAGCTGAGAGGATCATAAGTTTGAGGCCAGCCAGTGCTGTTACAGAGCAAGACCCTGTCTCATGAAAGGAAACAATTTTTAATAAATTTGTTCTTATAGCTTTAAAATTTTTTACATTTTATTTACTTAGTGTATATGGGGGAGGGGCATGCACATGCCATGGTGTACATGTGGAGGTAAAAGGGCAGCTTGCAGGAGTTCTTTCCTTCCATCATGTGGGTCCTGGGTATTGAACTCAAGTTGTCAAGTTTGGTAGCAAGCACCTTTGCCTGCAGAGCCCTGTTGTTGGCCCAGAAAAAGAAATAATTTTGTGAAAGTTAAAACAATGTATGGAAAGTGCCTAGTGCAGTGTCTGACAGTAAATAATATCCACCTCCATCAGTAGTTTACTTGCCCAAGGTCACATGGGAACTGTGAAATTCTGAATTCTAATCTACCTGCATCAAAAGGGGGGTCTCACAGCAGCCCAGGTTGAATTGGACTGCAGCTCTCTAACTCCCTTGGAAGTCAATCTAGTGTCAAGTATAAGGAAAGTGCACACAAGTGTGAGAGAGTATTCGTGGGTATGTGTGTATAAGTACTGAGACTGCCTTAGAAAGGAACCTTTATAAACTCTGATTCGGGTGTGGAAGAATAGAATGATTTAGGCCTTACAGATTTCATGACTCCTCTGAGAGAGAGCAAACCCACTAGAGGCTACCAGGGGTCCCCAGAGGGGTCTTCTCTGCCCCCTAGGCCTCCAGGAGTGCCCAGTAGCCCCAGCGTGAACTCCTCTTGGCTACCCTTTCTTCAAGCCCAGTTTCCAGGCTGGTGCTAAGCAGCACTGGTTGTCACCATGGCAATAGATGAGGCCAAGCTCTGGTAAGAGAGAGTTCTCAGCAGCAGGGACTTGACAGGCTCAGTGGGGAAGAGGATGGCTGGCTAGACCCCACTGTCCTATAAGACAAGAATCAGCTGGAAAGAGCCACCTGGGGGTCTTTAGTGGGAGAAGGGACCTGGGCCCCTAGAAAAGGTAATAGGATAAGACTAGTCACCTGGGAGGATGACATTTTTCCATTGTAACTAACTTATTTATGAAAATCTGTTGCTATTTAGCATGGGAAGACAGGAACATTCACTAATTAATGGCAAATTCTGATTTAAAAGTAAGTCTTGAGCCGGGCATGGTGGTGCATACCTTTAGTCCCAGCACTCAGGACTAAAGGCAGGTGGATCTCTGGGAGTTCAAGGTCAGCCTGGTCTACATAGTGAGTTCCAGGCTAACTGGAGCTGCAGGGAGACCCTGTCTCAAAAAGACCAAAATAAAATAAAAAAAATTAAAAATAAATAAAATAAAATAAAATAATAAAAGTCTTCAGGACCCTTTTCTGGGAATCCACAGCCCTCATTCCCCACCCCTTCATGGCTCTTCCTATAACTGTGGTCCACATACCATCAGATAGCCTTCATAGTTTGCCCAGGAGAAACAGAGCAGCTCAGTGTGGAGCTGGAGGTGCTAGCTGACTGTCCCATAGCATGACCAGTCTTGGGAAGCATGGGGGAGGCAGAGAAACCCCAAGACGGGGATATTAGTCACCTCCAACTCTGGAGGCACCCTTCGACACTGTGAACAAGTGACTTTAAAACACATCACATGAAGACCAGCAAGATGGTTCAATAGGTAAAGGCAGGTGCTATGCAAGTCTGGCAACCTGAGTTGGATCCCTGGAACACACAAAAAGGTGGAAGGAAAGAACCCACTTCACAGAGTTGTCCTCTGACTTCCACACTGAGGTCACGGCACACTGAGGTCATGGCACATGTATCCCCCGTCATGTGAATACACATACACAATGATAATAAATAAAATTCAAAACAAAACAAAACTCATCTGACTATAGCTCTAAATACCATTTTAACTATTTTTTTTATTATTTATTATTTTTATTTTATTTTATTTTGAGACAGGGTCTCCCTGTAGCCCCAGCTGTCCTGGAATTCACTATGTAGACCAGGCTGGCCTTGAACTTACAGAGATCTGCCTGCTTCTGCCTTCTGAGTGCTGAGATTAAAAGCGTGCGCTACCATGCCCGGCTGTTTTTATTTTATGTGTATTCGTTTATTACCTGCATGTAGGTAAGTGCACCTGTGTCATGCAATGCCCACGAGGACAGAAAAGGCCTTCAGATCCCCTGGAACTGGAGTTACGGACAGTTGTTAGCTGCCATGTGGATGCTGGGATTCAAACCCAGGTCTTCTGCAAGAACAGTCAGTGTTCTTAACTACTGAGCCATCTCTCCAGCCCCCAAATTTTAACTATATTTATTTATTTTTATGTGTATGAGTATTATGCCTGCATGTGTGTAAGTGTACCCATGTCATACAGTGGCCCGAGGAGGACAAAAGATGGATTGGATCCCTTGGAACTGGAGTTAGAGATAGTTGTTAGCTGTCATGTGGGTGCTGGGCATCAAACCCAGGTCCTCTGCCATCTCTCTAGCCCCCAATTTAACTATTGATTTTTTTTCTTTTGTCAATTTTTTTTTTTTTTTGAGACAGGATCTCCCTGTAGCCCCAATTGACCTGGAATTCGCTGTGTAGACCAGCTTGGCCCTGAACTCACAGAGATCTGCCAGCCTCTGCCTCCTGAATGCTGGAATTAAAGGCATGTGCCACCACGCCCAACTAACTATTGAATTATTTAAACATCTCCTCTTTATTTCTGCTGCTGCAAGGTTCCTCACTGTTTTCTTTAAAAAAAAAATAGTTTATTTTAAGCTGGGTGTGGTGGTGCACGCCTTTAATCCCAGCACTTGGGAGGCAGATCTCTGTGAGTTCAAAGCCAGCCTGGTCTACATAGTGAGTTCCAGGACAGCTGGGGCTACAGGGGGACCTTATTTTATTTTATTTTATTTTATTTTATTTTATTTTATTTTATGTGTACAAGTGTTTTGTCTACGTTGTAGGCATGCAATGCCCCTGGAGGCTGGAAGAGGGCATTGGAGTCCCTGTAACTGGAGTTGCATATTCTTAGCTGCCATGTAGGTGCTAGGAACTGAATCCAGGTCTTCTTTAAGATCAGCAAGTGCTCTTAACTGCTGAGCCATCTTTCCAGCTCCGCTCAGTGTTTTCTTACATGCTCACCACATATGGTGGTGCACACCCACTTACAATCTTAGTACCTGGCAGGTAGAAATAGGAGAATGGGTAGTTCAAGGCCAGCCTTAGCTACATAGTAAATTCAAGGACAGAGTAAGCTATGTGAGACCCTATTTCAGCAAAACAGAAAGGAAGGGAGGAAGGGAGAGAGGAGAGGGAAAGGCAGGGAAGGAAGGAAACCAACCTCATCACAGGTCAACTTACTTCTAGTCATGGCCTGTAATAACAACACTTGCTCTGTGTCTATTGGAGCCAGGTCCCTCAAAGACAATAATGTCCTGATTCCTGGAACCTGTGATGCATTATCTTACATGGCCAAAGAGACTTGCAAATGTGAATGTGATTCAGGATTTGGAGGCAGAGAGGTTACCCCCTAGGGTGCAATACAGTCATAAGCAGACCTTAGAAGAAGAAAGCAAGAAGGTCAGAGTCACAGAAGAAGCAGAACAGTAAAAACACAGTTGGATTGTTGTGGTTCCCTGAACCAGGGAATGTAGACCAGAAGGAACCCAACACAGATGACACCTTGATGCTAACCCAGGGAAACCTGTTTTAGATTGCAGACCTCTAGAAATGTGAAAGATTAAATTTGTGTTGTTTTAAGCCA